TGCAGCATACGAGTCTCCAGAAGCATCTGCAGCAGACGAGTCTGCAGAAGCACCTACATCAGACGAGTCTGCATCAACACCTACAGCAGACGAGTTTGCAGAAGCACCTGCAGTAGACGCACCTGAAACAGCTCTTGAAGATAAATTCACTGACAGAGAAGTATCATCTGAGGCACAGTCACCTGTTGTACCTTCTACGACAAAGAAACTAGTTGTTCATAAGTATCATTCAGCTGCTGATGTGATAGGAGATCTGAATGAAAGAACGACCAGAGGTGTTCAGCTTAACTTCAAAGAAATGCTGTAGCACTCGTGTTTTGTGTGTTTAGTTGAACCCAAGAATATTGCTGCATCTCTTGAAGATGAATTCTGGTATGGTACTTGTACAAAGGAACTAAATCAGTTTTCGAGAGATGAAGTGTGGGATCTGGTACCTCGACCTGCACAGATAAATGTTGTGGGCACAATGTGGATATTCAAGAACAAGATTGATGAAGATGGTCAGGATATTGATCAGAAACTCTACAGAGCCATGATCGGAAGTCTGCTGTATCTGATAACTAGCAGACCAGACCTGTGTTATAGTGTTGGTCTGTGTGCCCGTTACCAAACATGTCTACGTGTATCCCATCTAAATGCAGGTTTCTGTGATGCAGACTGGTCAGGATGTCTTGATGGCAGACGAAGCACATCTGGAGGATGTTTCTTTCTGGGAAACAACCTGATCGCTTGGCATAGCAAGAAGCAGAACTACGTCTACCTGTCGTCCACTCAGGCTGAGTACATTGCTATGGGGAGCTGCTGTACTCAACTACCATGGATGAAACAAATACTTGCGGATTATAGTATGACTTCTGAAATTCTGTTGATAAACTGTGATAATACAGGTGCAATTGATATTACTAAGAACCCTGTTCATCACACTCGCACTAAGCACATTGGTATTAGGCACCATTTCATCAGAGAGCTAGTTGAAGGGAAACTTGTTGAGATCCTCTATATTGATACTGAGAAACAATTGGCTGATATTTTTACTAAACCACTTGATTTGAGCACTTTCACAAATTTGCAAAAGTCACTTGGTATTTGTGAAAACTGACCTGGTTTTTGTCACTAAGGGATTGTTGGAATAGGATCACTGCACAGGAGTACATCAGTTTTTTTTAATCCCTTGGTTAATGTGGTACTGACTACAGCAAGAAAAACCTCCTATTAGCTCCTTTGTAACCAGTTATTGGCAATTTCTCTCAGAAAAAGAGCTGCTCTGCATACTTGGCTTCGACGATGTTCAACAGAAATGGTTTTCCTGTGCACTCAACATATCAAGCTTGGTCATTGAAAAACAAGAGAAAAGAAAAAGAAAACAAAGGAATGAAAAGATGAAATTATTTACTTTTGAGTAAAGAGGTAGGAAAATTTCCTATGACCTCATTATTTTACTTCGAAAGGGATGATCACACAAAGATGGAAGTGAGGTTAGGAAAATTTCCCGTGATACCACTATTCGCCTACATTTTTGATGAAGAAAAAATAATAAAAAAGGAGCTGAAAGCTGTTTTGAGAATGTTTTCTGGCTGAGTATGCAGATGTGTAGACTAGTCTGAGTGAAGCAGTGTGTGTGAAAGCTCCTCAAAAGAGAAATAGCTACCTCACTGAGCTGGTGGGTTGAATCCAGTTTTACAGTTCGATGTGCTTGCTCCTGTGCATATCATGTTACTTTAGGAACTCTGTGTTCACAGGTATGACGTGATACATTTACTGAGTGACTCCAAAATGATCTTAATTTTCAAATAAAGTGTTTCATGAAAAACAATTTTGGATCTCTAACATGGTCACTTCCTGCCTCTGGTTGTTTAGTGGTTGCCTGTGATATTCCTGTGCTCAACAGTGTCAATCTGTACAGTACAGAGTGCATGTTAAAACGAATTTCAAAGCAAGGGTGAATTGGTTATCTCACCGGTTAAAACCGGTTTATGTATCTTATTGGAATTTCGAGTTTTTGATGCAATTACAGGTCGGCTTGGTGGTGAAGGAGTTTTTATGCCAATCTTGCTGAGTTGGAAACTTGTACTGACAGTCTTACATTTGTGTACTGGATTCCTGGCACAAATCGGACTACTCTGCGGCCTGATCGTCTTCTGCTGATAGATATGGTGCTGTCCTCCCAGAGAGTTGTTCTGACTCTGCCAACTTATACATTATCTCGTTCTCCTGGAGTATTCAGGGTCGAGACTGCTGAAGCTTAGAATGCTGCACCTCCATTTCAGACATCAAGGACCTTGCTTCATGATGATCTTGCAGATCTCCTGGCTGTAGCTATCTTGGATAAAGCGTCGCCTAGATGGTAAGTGTTTGTTCTCCTTCATCTGATTTTCTTGCATAACTTGATGGCTTTTGGTTTTTACATGAATGTGCACTCAAGCAGGGGGAGAATATGGTAATTTTGATGGAGATCCTGCTGCGGATCCTAGTGATGAGGAGACTAGTGGCTGATTAGTTTAGACTAGGCCTAGTAATAAGGGGGAGCAAATGTGTAGTGTGTCTTTGATAGATTTTGCACTACTGTTCTGTATTTGCTTCTATTGGGTGTTGAAACTTGAATCCCCAGCAGTTTTTGTTTTGCTAATGAATGTTATTTCAGAATTCTTTTGAGTTTGAAATATACATTGGTGCTTCTTGGTGTGTATCTTGGCAAACTAACCCTGACAGGTAGCTCTGGAGCTTGAGGTGTCACATTCAGGTAAAAAGGGGGAGATTGAAGACATATGGATGTCGGGCTACAGGAAGATCCTGTGGAGCACAGGAGAGAGCTGTATGCGGGAAACTGCGAGACATTAAATGAAGATGATGTGGCGAGCAGTGATTGGTGATTGGAAGTTTCCAGAACGTGATGCTCAAGTTATTCGGTGTATTGAAGATACGATCAAATCAAGGAAAGAAGATTTGGTGTGATCTGAAGATTAGGAAAGTTGTCTATGACGCTTCCTTTATATTCGTAGTCTAGACTTTAGGTTTAGGTGGGCGTTTAGACTATCTCTGTGAATCTCAAGTACTAGGCTAGAAGCTGTTAGGGTTCTTGGTGAGTGAACAGAGTGTATGCATAGCTGTTGCTGTGTTGTGAGTTTGGGTAGATTAAGAATTGGTCAGTGACGAGTTGTGTCAACGTCGTGTAAATCTGATTAAACATATCTTGTAGATTGTTTAAGTGATTCTTAATAAAGGAAAAGAAGTTCTTTTCAATTGCCTCAATATCTATATAATAACAAAGAACACTGAACCCGTGAACACATCTATTTTTGTTCCACTTTCTCGTTCATTCTATACTATATTTTTCTCAACCATCGAAAACCATCATTCTTTTTTTCCACTTCATTTCACAAATGTTTTGTGTATATGCAAGATTCTTGGTATTGTTGTTCTATACTCAGTACTCTATGTTTCTCGTACATTAATTGAAAACCATAACTCTCTTTTTTTCACTTCAGTTCGCAAGTGTTATGTACTTGTGCAATAAATTTTGGTATTATTGTTGTTTGGTGATGTAAAAAGATCACTGAAATAAATAACCTTGAATCACAGATTCACAGAAAATACGGTCGTGATAATATACTAATGTGGTGAGTGGTAACATTCGAATTCCAATACTAAAATTAAAAATTGTTTTTAGCTAATTTCAAAAGAAAGGTCTATCAAGTCTTTTTTGTTTTAAAAATATCTTTTGGTAATTTTTTTATGAGTCATGTGTGAGATTTTTGTCTCTGTATTTTGGAATTCGATTTTCGTTTTAGTTTAAATTGGTGAAGTATTTATAAAATTTATCTTTTATCGAACCTAAATATCGAAAAATCGAATCTTTATATGTTGATGGATTGGGTACTTTTCCATCTTATGCATAAAATACATACATGGTCGTATATTTGATGCAACTTGTGCCTCTACTGCACGTATTCAGATAAAGTAAACATGTTAAGTTACAATAATGAGTAAAATAGTACTCATTGTTCCTAATAGTTTGATGTTTTGGAGTTATCACACATATTAAGAACTCAATCATTCTTTGATCATTTTAACATTGTTTTTTAATTTTAAATATTTTTAATAATTATCAACCAATAGTAGTCTAAGAAAATTAATGATTTATAATCATTGTATCTTGAAGTTTACAATTTACTATTATAAGTCAATAAAAATAAAATAAAATTGCTAGAAAATCAATCTCGGTGGAACAAACAACAAAAGCTAAAACATCAATCTTTTAGGAACAGAGGGAGTATGTAATATGACTATGGTCGTTTCATAATCGCAAGCGATTGCGATTGGATGTTATTCGTTTAACAATCAGACGACTGATCACTCCTACTAATTGTCATATAAAAAGTCGCATTACTATTTTTTTTTTTGGTCAAAAAATTTAGTCGCAAGTCGCAACGACTAATAACACAAGTATAAAAAAAACAAAATCTATCTCGATAAATATATAAGCATTTCCTTATGTCTTATATCAGATAATATTAACGTGTAATATCTCGAAAGATCCACACAGTTTGTAACAAAAATTATCAAAATGATACTACTAGTTATAAAATAAAAGTGTAATTATCGAAATAATCTAGTAGTTAGTTAAAAAAGAGTAATTAAAAAAAAAGAGGAAAAATATGTGGATCCACGTCGTCTGCTTGCGTGCACGTAAAAGTCTTTTCATTTCCTAGTTCTTCTGCTCTGTTGCCGTTGTGAACAAATTTGGGTTTCTGCTAAAAAACAAAAAATATCAATTTTTATTGGAAATTGCTATAATCGTACGGCTACGATACCACCGCAAAGCTATCACCACTACCACCCGAACACGTGTACGGCTCTTACACATTTCTCGCGAGAACAACCAAAAGAGTTTCGAAAAAACGAATATTCCTGCTGTAATATTAATTTCTCGTGTACGTTCCGATATACGATGACGTGTACGAGTCTCTCTTTTTTTATTATTTATTTTTAGGTTTAAAAATTAAAAAAAAAATCGAAAATGTTATTATTGTAACAGTATATAAACCCTTTTAGTCTCTATTGTTTCATTATTCAGTCGTAAATAAAAAAAAACGATTTATTTTTAATTTTATTTTTATTCTCTCTCTCAAAGTTTCTTGGGAGAGCAACAATGGCGATGAGGAAGCTTTTATCGAAGAAACTCTTCAATATCACGAATGTTGCATCACAAAGTCTTATGAATTGTCGTATATCATCGTCTTCATTAGCCGTACGAACCAGAGTTCCAACGGATTCAACAGATACGACCAAAATCTCACCGGAGCCTGGAGATTCAACGATTTCGCGGCGGTTTATGCACAATAGCGCTATGATTAGGCCAGAGATTATGCAGATGCCGGTTGGAGAGAGTTTGATTGAGAAACTCCGTGAGATTGATGGAAGCAAGGACCGGATTCGATTAGACGGACTTACTCCGCCGGAGAGGGAGTCGAGTTTGACGGTGGCGGATACGAAGAAGCTTCTTAGAGCGGCACAGATCGAGATTGTGAAATCGAAGCTTAGAGAAACCGGAAGAAGCTGGATGTCGTATTCGGAATTCGTTAGCGTTTGTGGTGAAGCTTCTTCAGATCCAGATCTCGGATCTAGAATCGCGAAGATGCTTGATGATTCAGCAAACGTCATCGTTTTGGGAGATTCCGTTTGTATTAGACCTGATCAGGTACTTTCTTCGTTCTTTGTTCCAGCATTTGCATTTGAAATCATTGATCTCTGAAAATCTCTGAGTATGCAGCTGTTTGATTGGCAGAGATAGAGAAAACTCTCTGAAAAAAAAAACGAATTAGGTTCCCAAATTTGTTTGAGTTTGTTCGATTTTGATTTTGGAAGCTACTACCGAAAACTGATACCATTTTTATTCGGTTGTATCTCTTTTTCTTTTGGTTACAATTCAACAGGAGAATCAAAAACCTCTGTGTTTTTATACCAGAGTTCCATAGGAGGTTCCCAAGTTTGAGAGAGGTGGTGATAAAGAGGAACAGTTTCTACAGAGACCACTACTTCCTAAACCAAAAAAAAAAAAAACCATTGGTTGGAATTAGGGTTAAGTTGAGTCAAGAAAGAGAGAAGCTTAGGTTGTGTTACACTAACAAGTTCTTGAGGGTTATTAGGATAAATCAAAGTGGAAAAATTGATTGAGATGATGATGATGATAATGGGTTGGGTTTATGTGGAGAGATTAAGTTAATAGTGAAAGATTTTAGCCAGAAAACAGGGATATGGAGATGGATTGATTTACTTTATAACTAGTCATTGATTCATGAAGATGTATTTTTGTTGTGTGTTTTTGAGTGCTAATTGTGTGTCTCAAAAGAAGGTGGTGGAGGTCTTGTTTTACCCAAACATTTTCTGTTTTTGTCTTTTGCTCTTGTGTCTGATCAGGTTACAAAATCCATTGAAGGGTTGCTTCCTTTGCCAAAGATTCATAACCCAAATGACCCACGGAGAATCGAGTTGAAAGAGCTTGAAGCTGAAAAGGCAGTGATCGATGTGAAAGCGCACTCTTTGGTGCGGAAAGAACTTTGGGCTGGGCTTGGTTACTTGATCCTACAGACCGCGGGGTTCATGAGGCTAACGTTTTGGGAACTCTCGTGGGATGTGATGGAACCGATCTGTTTCTATGTCACGTCCGTATACTTTATGGCTGGTTACGCGTTTTTCCTCAGGACATCGAAAGAGCCTTCTTTTGAAGGGTTTTACCAAAGCAGGTTCGAGGCGAAACAGAGAAAGTTGATGAATGATTATGAGTTTGATCTCGAGAGGTATGATGAACTGAAGAAGCTGTTTTGCTCTAAGCCTTCAGCTCATGTTTCCAAGATTCTTGGAGCTATCAAGAATTAAATTTTGATTAGGAAAAAAATTGCTTAGATTCAATGTTGTTGTCACAAATGGTGTCTGATTTTTCCTAACTAGAGAATTCTACCCCACAAAAAAATTTAAAAAAAAAAATGGGTAGTATTCTCAAATTTTTCAGTTTTCTTAAAAAAACAAAGAGTTTATTCTTATTATTGCGGCTTCTGTAACATCAGGGAAGAGTTATGTTTTTGTTTTCAGATTCCTTTTTCTTTTTAATGTATGACCGATCTAAAATTTAACATTGTGTAAATAAATGTTTGAAATGTAATATAATATAGAATTAATTATTAATTATCTGCAAAAGGCTTATTTCATATTTTCAAAAGCTTATTATTGCTCTATATGATTATTTAAGTTTTTGCATACCTATTAAAATATTATTTATTTTTTGTGTATTTTTAAAGTAAAATATTGTTTATTATCTATTTAAACACAGTTAAACTAATAACAAACAATGTGTAGCATATAAATCGTCAAAATCAATTAAAAAATTAATTAATATTTTATTAAAAGTTGAAAACATCATCTAATTTAAAACAACTATTTTTTTCTAAAACATCAAAAAAGAAAAAGGATATAGTATTTTCAAAAACTAAATTAGATCTATTTCTTTCTAACATGCGTTAGTGATTTTTTTTTCTGATAAAAGATCTTCTATTGATTTGCAAAATATATACAATGAGAAAATAGAACAACAATAATAGGGTTGACTCTAGTACACTACTCCAACTATACCGCTTCTTCGGTATACACCTAAACTTTTTGTCTCTTTTCTAAACACCATAAACAAATTTTTTTTTCTAGTAAACATTACGAACAATACTTTATCTTTTAATTGCAACATAGTGATTCTAAATTGTGATTAGATTTATTAAATCGGTAATCGCGTTTAAAAAACTACGATTAGTTTAAGTGAACCGAAAGTAATGAAGAAGGAAGAGATGAGCCAAAGATATAGGATTGGAAATGTCGGTTGTGATGTTATTATTTGTAATAATGTTGTTGTCATGTTATAAATCAAGCAAAATAATGTTCGTGATTTCTTTTCCATGGCAATAGGACATGCTTACCAAATAGTATCTCGAAAAAAAATATTTTTTTTTGTCATCTGAGAATATATTAGATATTTTAAAGTTTCCAACAAGATTACAAATAATGCACAAAGCCACACGGCTAGGGAATATGTTAGCCTATACTAGCACCAACTCCACAACCAAGAGGAGCAGCCTACACAAAAGAATGAGCTCGCCAACAAGGAGCCATCACGAGATCACGATACCACAAAAAGGATCTCAAAACCAAACCCAAAAAATAAGAGAACAGCACTCAAACAAAGGTCAAACACCTCTCATTTCGAAAAAAAACATATACTAAAATACCTTTATTGTGCAAAAAAAAGAAATAAAAATCATTTTCTAAATTTAATTAAATAACAGCCGGTGATTTTTTTTTTTCGCCCAATGAAAAAAAATAAGCGAAAATCGTCCACTCATAATGGTGATGATGATACGCTTTCCTCGAAGAAGCAGAAGAAAAAACAAGTGAAATATCAGCATAATGGTGATGATGACTCGCTTTCCCTGAAAAAGCAGAAAAAAAAAAACAAACGAAATCCCAGAAAAATGATGAATATGATATTGTTGTCTCGAAAAATGTATGTATTGAAAAACTTAATGATATCCACAAAATTTAGAAGATCTCTTTAAAAGCTTGCAAAAAAAAAGGATCTTGTTGTATTCTTTCACAATGTTAGAAAACAACGAACTCGAGATGGACAACACACATGTCTTCTTGGAAGATGAAAAGAGCGGATATAACTACGGATCAATATCGGCAATGTCAAGGTAATTGTTGGGCCGTTGCTTTCTATAGGCAATGGTATGCTTTGAAAAAATTAAAAAGATTATCGACATCAAATTTATCAGTGAAAAAGTCATGAACGGCGTTCCACTCCGTTATTAATATCGGCAATGTCATGGTAATTGTTGGGCCGTTGCTTTACTATAGGCAATCAATGGTATGCTTTGAAAAAATTAAAAAGATTGTCGGCATCAAATTTATCAGTGAAAAAATCATGAACGGCGTTCCACTCCATTATCAATATGCTAATCGCGGATTAGGCGATTTACAACATGTCGTTGACTTCATGAAAAATGGACGGCATGTCGAAGGAATGAAGATTCATTACAAGCCCAAAGTATAGCCAAATAAAATGGAGGGCATGTCGAGGACTTTGAGAGACATGATGAACTTATATTGTTAGATGGACGAGTGGCTGTTGTGATTGAAACTTTTCCAAGTTACTATACAAACGAGAGAAAATAAATTTTGTCTCCAACGTCCAATGAAGTTGAGAAAAATCTTTCGCCTGTTCTGGTACTGACGAGGCATGGAATTTATTTTGAAGAGGGTAAAGAACTCCAAAGGTACTGGGAGCTTTTTTTATTCCTATGGTGAGGACGGGAAAACATGTGAAATTATTCTAATTGCTAGGCATTAACTGATCGACAAAACTATCGAAATGAGGGTCAGTGAGGAAGAGTGAAGACTGAAGACATTAACTGATCAATGGTTAAGACTTATCTATTTCATCTTAAGATAATTATTAGTTATTATAACCTTGGAATGTATTAAACTTGCAATGACACGTGTGTAATAATTTTGCTACCACAAAATTTTTTTAATTAAATAACAGTGGAGGATTGACTTTTTGTTATCAATTTTTATGAATCCAAATAATTAACATTGAATGTACTATTTGGTTTAATTATATTTGTTGAAAAGTTTCCACAATATTTATACTGTCCACATTGACATAAAGTTATGTTTAAATTTGATAATCACATAAAATTAGTATGATGTCGTAAGATCCCACGATCTTGATAATCACAAAAAATAAATTTGTGCTATTTTTCATAAAATAATAAGTTTATGTTTAAACGAGCTTTTGGCATCATTGTATTTGTATCTACCACGATGTGTGGTTGTAGCTAATCAGGCCCAATATCAGTTTATAAATCAATATAATTGGCCCATAATTAATAAATATCCCAAAAATATAGTATAAAAATTAAAAAGAGAAAACACACAAAAGTCAGAAATAAATAGCCTCGAGGAACTTTCTTTCCCAACAGTAAGACTCTGTTTTTTTCCCCACAATGTCTGGTTTCCTCTTTTGTTTCGTCCAAATCTTTATATGTTTTTGTGCTGATTAAAACCCTCGACTTTGATCCAATCTCTTCAAGAAAACGGTGCGTTTGCTCTTCAATTTCCTTTTTTAGTTTCGATCCATGGATCTGATACGATTCGCAATGTTGGACATTGTTTCGATTTGTCTTTGTCGGTTCAAAATTCATCTTCGTTTCTAATTTGGGGAAAATTTAGGGTTTTTGGTTGTGGGTTTATTAGGGTTTGTCCAATCTCGTGATTTAGGTCTTTTGATTAGGGTTTCTTATCAAAAGTTCATATTTTGTTTGATTTAGAGCTTTGATTGATTCTTAATAAAGATTAAGATTTTTAATTGAGTTCATATTTTTGTTTGATTTAGGGCATTGAGATGGTGAATGGAGAATCATCAACTAGTACGTCTTACTCTGATAATAACAATGGTGCAAATGATCAAGGAGGAGACTTTGAATGTAACATTTGTTTTGAGTTAGCTCAAGATCCGATTGTCACTCTCTGTGGTCATCTCTTTTGCTGGCCTTGCTTATACCGTTGGCTTCACCACCATTCGCATTCTCAAGAATGTCCGGTTTGCAAAGCCGTGGTTCAAGATGATAAGCTTGTTCCTCTTTACGGTAGAGGCAAGAACCAGACTGACCCGAGATCTAAACGTTACCCGGGTTTGCGGATTCCTAACCGACCAACGGGTCAAAGACCTGAGACTGCGGCTCCTCCTCCTCAGGCTGAAGCAGCGAGTAATTTTTTCAACTACGGTATTGGTTTGATGGGTGGAATTATGCCAATGGCGACTACTAGGATCGGGAATTTCAGTATGGGGTTTGGTGGTTTGTTGCCTTCTTTGTTTAACTTTCAGTTTCATGGATTTCCCGATGCTACGCTTTATGGTTCAACACCGGGCTACCCTTACGGTGGTTATCATAATGGTTTCCGTGGAGTTCCTCCTCATGGACAAGAGCGTCCGATGGCTCGTGGAGGAAACCAAAGCGATGCTACTCTGAAGAATATCTTATTAGTTGTTGGAATTTGCGTGGTGTTATTTCTTTGCTGGTGAAAGCGAATCACATTTGGTTTATTCCCAGGTATGATCAAACTCACTTACTTGGTGCAAGTTGTGTATGTAAATATGGTAATAGCTGAGTGTCTGTGTCTGCTATTTCAACGTCGTTATTGTATTTTTGTTTTGAAGATGAAACTTGAGTCTATAAGCTTTTTACACAACTCTTTGTTTTTTATATTTTCTTGCTTGTGTTTTGTCTAAGCATCTTGTGAAAGAATAAATGGTGCGTGTGCCTGTTATGACAGAAGAAGTATTATTATGATATTTGATAAATCAGTACTTTATGTGATTCTTTACGGTTGATAGATGCTTGATTTTATATAGACTATGATAAGTTCTTAAACTGATTTCTGCTTTATAAAAAGAAGACCCCTTAAATGTGAACCTGAATCAGTGGCTAAATCATTGATTTAGAATGATTTGCTGTGTCAGGTTTAGCTGTTTGTTATAAGAACTCTGTTCTAACAGAGAAAAGCTGTGTGTAGTGCTTCGATCTCGTGAGCATTCTTGTGCGAGACTAAGCTTGTCCTTGTGAGTTGATTCAAGTAGTTGACTGCTGGGACAGAGCATGACGTTAAGGGGATCATACTCCATGATTCTCGTTCTTCTTCTTATCTCTCAAATCTCGATCTCACTCTGTTTACTCGATAGTTTGATAGGTTTTCATACATTGCTAGATAGTTGTAGATTGATGCTAATATCGAAACAGCGACACTAGGGAGTAGGGATGACTTCTAGAGCATCACTTAACTCTTTCTTGCCTTAAACCAGTCTCAAATTCCTCCCCTTTGTAAACTTTTCAATAACTCTTGTAAAATGTCTTTTTCTGTGTGACGACGATGCAGACAACCATTATGGCCACCACTATAGGAAGCTTTGATAAGGGCTGTTCCATTTTGTTGTTCTGACAAGAATCCTTCATGGTCGTTGAGCTCAAAAATGTTGTCGTAGTGACTAGTGAGAATCAAGAAAGGACCAATCTTTTTCCCACTAGTGTGAATATGAATATAAACTTCAGGATTTAAGTCTTGCGTCGGTGACTGCGTTTAGTCCTTGCTGAAAATTATTAGTAACGTCCTCCTGCAAAAGTCGTTACCAATCGGTCCCTAAATTGATCGGTTAGTTACCGTCGGAATTAAACCAGAAAAGATGAAATAAAAAGGCAAAAGCCTTTGTGTCGTCCCCATCACGTCGTCTTTGGCGGCTTCAAAGCCTTTATATGATTCTTATTCACAAGAAAACAAAATCAATGTTATGAAAATAATAACTTACCCAAATCCAATAATTTAACGAAACTAAAATATTCAATAGGTCCCATTTCCCACTTTTCTTCATTTGACTTTTCAGAAACAGTTGACTTTTTCTCCACCATTCCTATAAACCCAATTAAAGACCTTGAAACCAAATCTTGCAGAATCATTACGATGATGATCTCGTTTCTACTCCATCTCCTCTTCCTATGTTTCTCCTCTTTCGCAACCGCGCAACAGCCTTATGTCGGGGTATCGACAACCGATTGCTCTGTTTCCGACAACTCAACTTCTGTTTTCGGCTACTCTTGTAACGGTCTCAACAAAACTTGCCAAGCTTACGTCATTTTCCGATCTACTCCTCCTTTCTCTACCGTCTCCTCCATCTCTTCCCTCTTCTCCGTCGACCCATCTCTCCTCTCCTCCCTCAATGCCGCCTCAACTTCAACTTCATTCCCTTCCGGTCAACAAGTCATTATCCCTTTAACTTGTTCTTGCTTCGGCGACAATTCACAAGCCAATCTCACCTACACAATCAAACCAAACGATTCGTATTTCGCCATTGCTAACGACACTCTTCAAGGGCTTTCGACGTGTCAAGCTTTGGAGAAACAGAACAATGTTTCTTCTCAATCTTTGTTACCTGGAATGAGGATCGTTGTTCCGATTCGTTGCGCGTGTCCCACGGCTAAACAGGTCAACGAAGATGGGGTGAAGTATCTGATGAGCTATACGGTGGTTTTCGATGACACTATCGCGATCATCAGCGAGAGATTTGGGGTCGAGACGAGCAAGACTTTAGAAGCTAACGAAATGTCTTTTGAAAATTCTGAAGTTTTCCCTTTCACCACAATTCTGATTCCTTTGTTGAATCCTCCTTCGAATTCCAACTCTATCATTCCTCCTCCTCCCCCTCCCCCTCCTCCTCCTCCGCCACAATCGGTTTCTCCTCCATTGTCGCCGAATGGTAGGAAATCAAAGAAGAAAACATGGGTCTATATTCTTGCCGGAGTACTAGGAGGAGCATTGGTTTTGAGTGTGATTGGTGCAGCTATCTTTTGCCTTGGTAAGAAGAAAACGAAACCACAAGAGGAAAGGGGAAACCTCGATAGCTTCACGGGCAAGAAACCACCGATGTCCGATCAGGAATTCGATCCGCTAGATGGTTTATCAGGGATGGTGGTAGAATCACTAAAAGTTTACAAATTTCACGAGCTGCAATCGGCAACAAGCAATTTCACATCGTCTAGTTCAATCGGAGGATCAGGGTACATCGGAAAAATCAACGGCGATGGTGCAATGATCAAGAAAATCGAAGGAAACGCATCGGAGGAAATCAACTTATTGTCGAAACTAAACCATCTCAACATCATCCGTCTCTCTGGATTCTGTCTCCATGAAGGAGACTGGTACTTAGTTTACGAACACGCTTCAAACGGAAGCTTAAGTGAATGGATCCACACGACGAAATCGCTCTTAAACTTGACACAGAAGCTACAAATCGCTTTGGATATAGCAACAGGGCTAAACTATCTACACAACTTCGCTGATCCTCCATACGTTCACAGAGACTTGAACAGCAACAATGTGTTCCTCGACATCGAGTTTCGAGCAAAGATTGGTAACTTAGGGTCAGCAAGATCAACAACTGAAGATTTCGTGTTGACCAAGCATGTGGAAGGAACAAGAGGGTACTTAGCTCCAGAGTATATGGAACATGGTTTAGTTTCAACTAAGCTTGATGTCTATGCTTTTGGAGTTGTCTTGTTGGAGATTGTTACTGGTAAAGAAGCTTCTGAATTGAAGAAAGAGATCGATGAAGGTAATGCGATTGACGAGATTTTGATTCGTGGAAGATTGTTACCTGAAGGATTAGTGAGTTTTGTTGTGAGATTGGTGGTGGATTGTTTGAAGAAAGATCATTTGAATCGTCCATCGATGGATGAAATTGTTATGTCTTTGTCTAAGATCTTGACGGCTACACAAAACTGGGAAGAATCATCGTACTAAGTTTAAGGCCCAATATTGTTAGGGCCTCATTAATTGAACCAGCAAGACCTTTGTTCTTTGCTTTTGTACAAAAGGTCATTAAGGATCTAGATTTTGGGCTGGATTTGGTCACACAAAAAAAAAATTGTTGATTAGTTAGGCTGTTTAATATTTAGTTGTGGTTGTATGAAAATTGGTTGTGAGAAATGTGGCTGAAAATTGGAAATAATATCAAAAACGATTTTAATGGTTTAAACTTTGTATGTTTAGTTAATATTTAAGGACTTTTGGATTATCTCATGGTACATTTTCAGTCGAGGTATCAACCCCTGTTCTTAAACATTAGTTTAATATCACTCATATTAAAGTGAGTTTGTGAATAATTCTTGATAAAATATTGGTTTATTGGTCAGCTGGGAAATGAATCTCACATTTAACATGAGAGATTATATTCTGATTTTTGAAACTATAAGTTTTAAGAAAATATGTACTAACCATTTTATTTGCAAAAATGATTGATCCAAAAAAATCCTAAATATTTAGTTTAACATGTGACTGTTTTTAGAATACCTTGAATTATATGAAAAAATTACTAGAAAAATCATACACGAAAAATACATCACGTATTTACAATTTCTTTACTAATTTTGACCAAAACCTTAGCTATAAATTATTTTCAAAATATTTTCCCCATATTATGATAATAAAAAAAAATATATTCTCATTATTTCATAAAATGATAATGAAATGCATAAAATTAGCGAATGAAAGATACTTGAAGTTCGAAGCTTTAGGTTGATGATAGAAGAACAGGCTGTCACGTTTGGGTAGTCAATACACGTGGCACTTTAAGACACGTTGATTCCGACATGGACCACAAATCCCACGTGGCCATGACCATCCTTTGCCTGGCATTGCCACGTGGATCCTATTAAAGTGAGTTTGTGTTTTGTGTTCATAGGACCACTATTTGTTTGATTGATAGATATGAGTCTATGACCAAGCATCGACTCATCCACATTAAAAAAAAAACACATTACATAATACACACGGCGGTTTTTTTTCCTTATTCATGTATAGATAATTGTTTTCCTTCAATAATAAAATATTGAAATGAATTGAGAATCTAGATTGTAAAAAATGTAAGACATTGTTTAATACAAACTTTTAGCTTACAAGTTTCAGTCATATTATAATTTATTGAATTTATATACTATCGGGTTTCGTTTCTCGTATTAAAATCTAGATTGTAAAAAATGTAAGACATTGTTTAATACAAACTTTTAGCTTACAAGTTTCAGTCATATTATAATTTATTGAATTTATATACTATCGGGTTTTGTATATATTGAGCATGACTGGTTAAAACTGTAATTTTAAGTTTTTTTGCTGTAGTTTTTTTTATTAACTTGTAAGATTTTGGCTCCTACTTTTTTAAAATGAAAAACTGATCGGTAATTTTTTTGTATGTTGTATAGATTAATAATTTTAATTCATATATTGAAAATATATTAATATTAATAAATATGAATAAAATGTATATCTCACAATTTTTTTGTCAGCATATATCGCATATTAGAGCTTAACATCTTTAGTTAATATAATTTTCTTATGTTCATAATTTCATAAATTTATAATATCATTTAGCACATGATAGATATTGCATATTCTTTTTAATCCATTATTTTCTTGACATAATTTTTAGTACTACATAAAAAATACCAAATCTTCCTAGTATAAATACTTATAAATAACTGTAAACATTTCTCATTGCATAATTAATTAATAATTGATTATGTGACAGCCCAATTTAAGATTTTTTCCCTACTCATTGCATATGTTTTTCCCATGTCATGCATGGTCCTAAGTCCTAACTCTTAAGGATGTTGAAAGGCCTGAATTAACCAGTTTGGATCTGAGATATTCAAAGTCAAAATTGCACATCTTTATATATTTATGGACCCTTTCGTATTTAGCTATACCTTTGAACCATCTATTTTAAATATTGACAGAGACATAGTTATAACACATTTATAAATAATATGTCAACTTCAACCACAATATCGTGTAAGAAATGTACAATGATCAGTTATATAAAGTGGTGTTTTATGCACACATATATGATTTTAATTAAGATTTAAGGATCAAATTAAAATCTCTAAACTTTAACCTAGAATGGTCTAAACTCTAAAGTAAAGCTATTCCATGTCTTGAAAGGACAAATACAAGAAGATATTAGTAAAGAAATTTGAAAAGTATGTCATGCCTAGATTTTGACACTTTCCATGCACAATTTCACATATATAAGTGATAAAATATTTATATTGATACACAAACAAATTCGGAAACCGAAGACATGTAGTGAGTGAGCTTGTGGTCACACCACTATACAAAGCACTCTTAAGTTGCAAAAATGAGTGTACTTAAAAGGCGGGAATAAAACAAAACAAAAGCATCTAACACCAAATTAATCTAGAAAATTTTAAACCAAAAAGATATTGTATATCAATATCTAACCAAAAAAAACATCTCGCCTCCATAAAAAAATATATAACTTATACAAAAAAAATTTCGAATCTATCAAAGAGCTAAATATAGGAGA